TGTATTTGTTGCAGCTGTAGAAATTGTGGTAGTAGACGTTGTTAGAGTGCTAGGAGTTGATTGAGATACATTATTTCTTGAGTTGAATGTTTGATGATGAGATGAAGGTATGTTTGAATATCGAGCGGTTGAACATAAATATGGAAAGTGAGAACTATCATCAGATTTAATAGAAATAGTATCCTCTGTAAGAGATTTATTAGTGGGGTCGCGAAGAATATCGGGGTGTGATGAAAGCCTTTTCTTTGAATTACGCAACGACCGGCCTTCCAAGGCACTCAGAACAAAATGATCCTACAAAAGAAGTAAAGATTCAAGGTACAAGTAAGTGTAAATGCTTAATGACTATTGGTCTAACGAACAAGTCAAGTAAATGAAGAATAAAGAAATTGATAGACCAAAAGTTAGGTCAGGGAGACAATGAACATTTATTTAACTCGTAAATATGAAGGTAAACAAAAATGTTTAGCTTACCAAAGGATGTCTGGCCATCGAGTCTAAATCTTTCGCATCCACAGAAGAGGCACTTGCAGAAGTAGACCTGGCCGCCAAGGCTGCGGCCGCTGCAGCGACTACAGCCGCAGCAGAAACTGTAGGAAATTGATCAAGGCCACGAAACTTGTGTCTTTGATGATGGTGATGATGATGTCGACTTCCAATCAATGCGTTGCTTTTCCGAACATTTACACTGGTCCCTGACGTGTGATGATGGTTACAGCGCCGACGGCAAGTTATGGGAGATTGATTTTCAGGTGAAGAAGAAGCAGTTGATTCGTCACAATCACAACCATGTACAGAAGTAAATTCAACATCTCCTGACTCCTGTCCGTCTGAAGAAGCATCATCCATGTCTCCAGAGGACGTTGATAAGCTATCTGTAGATGGTTTTCTGCTAGAGCACGCAACGCCCGAACTTTCTTCTAGCTTGCTGGAGAATTTTCCAAATGAGCTAGCATTACTAGAGGTAGCAAACATCTTGGCACTTGAATCTTCATTTGCGGACGTGTTCATGTGCTTTTTTTGAGCCTCAGCCATGGCCAAATGATAACCAGCAGCAGCCGCTGCTGCCAAAACCGCTGTTGTTGTAGTAGATGTTGTTGATTGCTCAGGCATGGCTTGCTGGCAAGTTGGTATGGTGACGGAAGTTGGGGCCACTGAAGTAACAACCGTGGCCATGGCATTTGGACTGTGTGGTGGAACTAAGGGCGTTGCAACTGATACAGACGAAGCAGTGGTACCCGTCACTGCAGCCGCCGGAGCAATAAAAATGTTCGAGATGGGAGTTGGTCCGGCGACGGATGGCGAGACGGCAGCTGCTTCGTAAAACGATTGCAGTGACAGATGAGCATGCGCCCCTAATGCTTGGGCTGATGCAGGAGTTGCACTTCCAACCAAAGTAACTGAAGCTCCTGAATTAGAAAGCATCGTATTTATAACATTAGCAGCACTATGGCCAGTCTGTGGAGTCGGCTGTGATGTAACGATCGAAGGACAGAGAGCCGGAGAGGCTACAGTCAAAGAGGCGGATGAAGCAGCTAATTGATTGACTTGGGATATCTTATCAGAAGTTATAGAGACAGTTGCATTTGAGGCCAACTGTGGGGCTGATTGAGCTTGTTGAGTAGGTGCCGCTCGGAGAACACTTAGACCTCCATGGCCAGTAGCAACAGGAATCGTTGATAAACTAACGATTGTGGCTGGCGTTGTAACCGTACCC